TCTTTCTTTCTTTCTTTCTTTCTTTCTTTCTTTCTTTCTTTCTTTCTCTCTCTCTCTCTCCTTCCTTCCTCTGCCTTCTCTCACTTTCTCTCTTTCCTTCTCTTTCTCCTTCTCTCTTTTCTCCTTTCCTTCCCTTCTTTCTCTTCCTTTCTTGTTTTTTTATTTTAAAGTAACAAACATTTTAAAAATTAAATTCTTTCCCACTATATCCTCTCCCCCTTGAGCAAATTAAAAAAACATTCTCAGTACATATCTACATAATTTGTCAAAATAAATCCCCACATTATCCATGTATGAAACTGTGTGTCTCTGCATCTTAAGTTCTTCATTTCTGTTAGAAGGTAAGTGGTATGTTTCATCTTTATTTTTTTGAGAATTCTTGATTTTTCATTGTGCTGATCAGAGTTCTAAAAACTTTCAAATTTTTTTCTATAATTTTATAAATTATTCTCAGTTCTGCTTATGTCATCTGCATCAGTTGACAAAGGTTTTCAAGTTTCCTCTACAATTATTCATTTCATAATTTTCTGTGTCACAATGATATTCCATTATGTTCATATACAACAGTTTGTTTAACTGTTCCTCAATAGAAGGACACTCCCTTAAGTTTCCAATTTTTTGGCTACCACAGAGAAGAAAAACACCTACTATAAATATCTTTGTACATGTAAATCTTTTTTTTCTTTGAATTCTTTGAGGTGTAGGCTTAGTAATGGTAAGGATGGGTCAAAGCATATGCACAGTTTGGTAACTTTTTGAGCATAGTTCCAACTTTCTTTACAGAATAGTTAGACCAATTCACAGCTCCACCACAATGCGTCAGTGTACCCATTTTCCCATAGCCCCACCAACATTTGTCATTTTCCTCTTTTGTCCTCTTTTCTAGTCTGATAGGTGTGAAGTGGAACCTCCTAGAGGCTTTACTTTGAATTTCTCCAGTTATTAGTGAGTTAGAGCATTTTGGTATGATTGATGATAGTTTGGATTTCTTCCTTTGAAAATTGCCTGTTCTTATACTTTGACCACTTATTCATTATGGAATGACTCTTAGTCTTATAAATTTGAATCAGTTCTTTATATATCTCATAAATGAGACCATTATCAGAGATACTTGCAAAGATTTTTTTTCTTATTTATCCATTTCCCTTCTAATGTTTACCACGTAAGATTATTTGTTTGTGCATAATCTTTTTAATTTTATGTAATAAAAATTATCCGTTTTATCTTGTGGGATCCTATCACTTGTTTAGTGATGCAATCTTTCTCTGAAAGGTAATTTCTTCTTTGCTCTTCAAATTTATTAATAATGTGACTTCTTATATCTATGTCATGTATCAATTTAAAGCTTACCTTAGTAAATGGTATGAGGACTTAGTCTAAATCTAATTTCTGCCAGACTGCAGTTCAGTTTTTCCAGTAATTTTTGTCAAATGGTGAATCCTCCCCCTAGTAACTGGGGGTATTTGGGTTTTTCTGCACTATCCTACTGTGTTTGTTTTCTTCTGTGTGCTGTGAACCTAGTCTGTCCCACTGATTAGCCTTTCTGTTTTTAACTAGTACCAACTTGTTTTAACACAATTTTGCAATACTGATGGAGTTCTTGGAGGTAAAACTTGTAGACTTACAGCCCCAGCAACTCCTACCAAACTGGAAAAGCTTCTGTGGTAGGCTGGTGACAGTCTGTGTGTCTACCATCAGATCAATGCTCTGGCTAAGTTCACAGAGCCTGATGCCGGGGTTGGCTCTGAGAGATGATTCTTTTTTTTTAGCCACAGTATTTCTCGAAGACTATCTGTGGTGCAGTGAAAAGCACACTGAATCTGGTGACAGAACCTGGGTTCAAAACTCAGCCTTGCTACTTACCATCTGTATGACCTTGGGTAAGTCACTCACTTCCCTTCCATGAGTTTTCTCATGTGGAAAATGAGTGGGTTGTACCAGACGTTCTCTAAAGGCCCTTCCTGCTCTAACTTGATGGTCCTTCATTATGTGAACTCCCCCTTTAAGGAGGCATGGCTTCATTCTTTGTATTTGTATTCCCAGAGCTTGGTCTCTATAAACACTTACCCAGTACTTGTTGATAGATCCTAAATTGTTGATTGGTTACACCTGAGAGCAGGAGTACTCACACTAACAAAATCACAGAGTGACTCACGGACAGTCATCTTGACTTTTGTCTTGCTGCTGGACTTTTATAACTCTGGAAGAGAGAGTGAAGCTGATGACTTTGTGCAACTCTGTCTTGCTCAAATCCAATTCATGAGAAAGCCAAGACATGACCCTGTGATGTCATTGGTCCTCTTGGAAAATGAAGGCTGAACAACAACAACAACAACAACAAACAGTAGGCACTCCGTAAATGTTTGTTAGATCAGAACAAGAAAACTATTACTTAAAAGAACAAGGGCACTTGAGTAAAAAAAAAATGAAAAACTCTGAGTTTTAAATGAGAATCTATGAAAGAAGAACTTAACTAACAAAATGTTAAGCCAAATGAGCTCTCCTATCATTTAGGTAGCTGAGATGTTTGTTTTTCTAGGTCAGGAGTCCTTAACCTAAGGTCTGTAGATAGATTTCAAAAAGTCTATTTATTTTCAGGCGGTGTAACATATTTAAACTGTATTTCAGTACAACTGATTTTCTTTGTTATAATATGCATTTTATTTTATTCATTTGAAAACATTATTCTATAAGAAGGGGCCCATAGTTATCACCACATTGCTGATACACAAAAAAGATTAAGAAGTACTGCCCTGAGTGAACTTGAATTATTATTACTAAATTTTTATATAATTGAGTATTGAATTAACAAAGCAGCATAATGTTGCCTTTAGGGTGCTGGACTAGGAGCCAGGAAGCCTAAATTCAAAACCTGCTCCTCATATTTGTCAGTTGGATCAAGGAATTTAGCTTTTCAGAGCCTTGGACTCCTCATCTGTAAAAGCAGGAACAATACCTGCACTACCTCCCTCCCAGTCATTGGGACAAAATTGCTTTGCAAAGCTTAAAATGCTGTGCGATCGAAGCTCCCCATTGAATGATCTGCTCCTTTCTTCATATTTGTTTGCCCAGCACAGTGCCTGGCACATAGAAGGTGCTTACTGAATGCTTGTGGATTATTCATTGATAGGAATGTGAGTTTCAATGAAAAGCCTCTGATTGCTGGAACTGCCATTAAGATAAACTAAGATAAACACAGCTAGGAAGTGTCCAAGGTTGGATTTGAACTTAGATCTTCCTGACTCTAGGTGCTCTCTCTATTGCACCACCTAGCTGTCTTGCTAGCAAGTATTGTTCCTGTTTAGTTGTGTTTGACTTTTTGTGACCCTGTGGACCATACTGCCCATGGGCTTTCCTTGGCAAAGATACTAGAGTGGTTTGCCATTTCCCTCTTAAGGCGAACAGAGGTTAAGTGACTTGTGCAAGGTCATACAGCTAGGAAGTATCTGAGGCTGGATTTGAACTCATGTCTCCCTGATTCCAGGTCCTGTGCTCTATCCACTGAGCTACCTTGAAGTCACATAGCTGCCTTCTATGATTAGCTAATGCCATGAAAATCAATTGATAGGAGACTGGCATTCTAGTGTTACTTGACTCAGAAGTAAGGGACTCACAGCAGAATATTAGAGTTCAAAATGCAAAATACTTTTGGAATAGTAAGGAAACATTTGCAACCACTTTGTTTTCCATTTTAGGGTAGAAACAGCTGCTAGAAAAAAAAAGTGTACTGAAAACACTGACTTTTAGAGAAAAGAGCCACACTGATCATTTGCAGGGAAGAAAGGTAAAATGAAGATTGAAACACCTTCAGATGAAATCTAACACCAAAAGAATGCCCATTTGTCTGGCCTTATCTGGGTGATATGGAAGCTTCACTTGGCCGTACAGCCTTATGGAAACCCTTTTCTATTTCCCCATTATTACTGCCCACCTTCTCCTCCTGGCTCAGCACCCCTGCCCTTCTCGAACTCCTGGTAGTATTTATAATTTCAATCACCTCTGTTAGTGGGCATTCAAAAGTGTATCTGAACCAATACAGAGAGCTCTCATTTTGAGTTATGCAAATTTGACTTTACTTAAAGAATTCTGAAAGGCATAGAAAGATGTAACAGAAACACGTATGAAGAAAATCTGGAAAAAAGTATGCTGCCAGTTCATTCCTGATTTTCATGGATTTGACAAACATGAGATTGTTCGAAGAAGTAACAAGATCCTAAGATTAGCCCAAGAATTGGAGCTAGAAGTGGATGAGAACTTTGCGGAGGAGTTGAGTCTAGAAGTGGATGAGAACGTTGAAGAGGAGTTGAGTCTTGCAGAGAGGAACTGTCCAATGAGGATCTGATTGAATGCAAAGACTGCAGAATTAAAAAGGGAAACTTCGGAACCGAAGTCGAGACAAAAAGGTTCATGAAGAAGCAGTTGGCAGAAGCATTTCATCATTTCGGTGAATTTTTTTCTTGTATTGAAAAGATAGATTCAAATTCTTTAAGATTTTTAAAAAGGTCAAGACTAGTTGAGGATGGTATTTCTTGCTGTGATCAGATGGATGAGGAAAAAAAGAAAGCCACTTTCCAAACATCTCTTGATAGCTTCATAAAAAAAAATTTGTGCAATTAATCACCATTAATAAAGATTAGATGCAGTGGGTGGGAAAGGGCAACGTACTGCACACTGTACTGTACAGTACTGTGCATACTTCATCACTAACTTTATCTTTCATTTCATAATTCTGTTTATTACCATGGTACAGTATTTAACGTGTCTACATTTTAGTATATCTTATGACTTGTGCGAAGGTATTATTTTGTGTATGCCTTTGTCACAAAGGCTAAGTGAAGTGGGTGAGTAGGAGCATATTTGCGTTATGTAAAAATTGCTTTATACAGAAGTTTGCTGACTACTCCACTTACATAAAGCCAGAATACATAAATTACAGAATTGCATAAAGTCTGTACACACAATTGATCTTTTGTCAGGTTCTCTTATAGGGGAAACAGAAAAGTACTAGGCAGCTTTCTTTCTGTTCCAGAGAAGTACAACCCAGCTTCAAGCTTCCTTCTTAGCAAAACAAAAGAGATAAGAATTAGCCTTGTGATCATTGTTTTATAGAACTTGGTGAGGAAACTCCCTCCTTCCAGCACAGTTCTCACCTACTGTGATGGTGCAGTGGGCCTGGAGTCAAGAAGACCTGAGTTTAAATCCTGCCTCAGACACTTAGAAGCTATGTGACTCTGGGCAAGTTATTTAACCCTGTTTGTCTCAGTTTCTTCATCTGTAAAATGAGCTGGAGAAGGAAATGGCAAAGCACTCCAGCGTCTTTACCAGGAAAAACCCAAATGGGGTCATAAAGAGTCAGACATGACTGAAAATGACTGAATAACAAAGGAACTATTTGCTATGATATAGTGATTTCCCACGCTGGGAGTTCAATTGCTTTGGGACTTTCCCACACTGGGAAAAAGTATTTCAAGTATATGAGTTAATTGTAGATTTGTTTGCTAAATTCTTTCCATAAAACAAGTACTTTCCACTTTAAGATACAGGTATGGTAGAATTCCACTAATTCATATTGGGCAAGTAGATTAATGCTTATAATAAGGAAACATGCCACATACTGTTTGGAGGCTTTAAGGAATCTGGAAATGGAAGAAAGTTGTGGGGAGATGGTTTTAGTGAATATATGGAAGGGAAGACAATGATGATCAAAATCCCCCAAACTCACCAAAATGAACACTATAACCTCCATTGGTCAGACTACAATGGTTTTTCTCATTGCTCTTCTGCCCATTGTGAATACTTTCAAAATAACAATGATTATGTCTCAAAGGAGGACTAGTGCACATTTCCAATGTACTATTGATGGCATAAGGGCCCAAGATGGCCCCTAAGAAACCCCCTCCTTGACCTTCCCTTGAATTCTCTTACTTGGTCAAGGAAGTCTCTAGTTGACTGAGGCTATAATCCTATCAACTGGCCTTTCCTTATCTCCGAGTCCCAATCTCCCAGTTCTGTTACCCTGAATTTAGCCCATCTCCTTATTGTGTAATCTCCCGATACCCTCCCCCACTTTCTACCCTTGATACTTTCTAGACCCCATTCTCGACCTCTCAGTCACTCCCATCAAGATCTTTCCTACACCCCATCTCTGGTCACCCCATCTTACTGGCTATTCCCATCAAGATATCCCTTCTCCAAGACCCTTTCTCCAGTCATCCCAAACTACTTGACCAATCCTAGATCCCTCCCACAGTCTGTCTGTATATAAGGTCCATCTTATTTCCATTAAGAGGCTGAGATGCTTAAAGTCTAACCAAGGCTCAGATTCTTAAAACCTAGCCAATAGCTCACTAATATTCAGATTCCTTAAGAGTCTGGCTAATATGGCGGATCTTTAATAAACCTTGTCTTTGACTGAAAGAAAACTTGGGTGAATTCATTCAGGCAGGACCCATGAGTCATAATTTTGGGGTCCCAGCACCCCTAAACTTTTAAACCTCAATACTATGAGTTTTCAAAGTTGGTAGTTTCTTTTAAATCTTAATTCTTCCTTACCTTGCCTTGTAAAGTTCTTTATCTTAAAAATGTTTTTCCCCAATCATTAAAAATGATTGTCATTTGGGGTTTATTTTCCTAACTTATAAACTGAATCTCTTTTCTTTTTACTACTGCTTGTCTATTAAATATCACCTCTTTAAAAATACACTTTTAAAATCCTGGCTAGCAAGAATAAATAGTGTGAAATGATTCTTGTTTCAAAAAATGCAAATCAATGTGTTTTTAAGATTAGTCAATGTGAACACCATCCCCTCTTTTCCCAAGGCCCCTTCAAGTAATGGAAACTAAATCACACATGTGTGTTTTCAGTGTTCATTTCACAAGTGGTTTAATCTGTGGTGAAATTAGCTGACCAGCTTTCAGGTAAATTTTTATAAATATTAGAAAGAAGTTATAATGGTTGATCTTAGTTGAAATGGAAAGAAAAAGATAGCTTTTTTTTTTTTTTAAAGAATTGGTGTTTGTGGGTTGGTGAAGTATGACTATTTAGTGGTCCTGAAATGAAACAAAAAAAAATTTTAAATAGAAACTGACACTTATACAATCACTGAACACACTTACTATCTGTATCAGTGCACTTCAATAACCTTTAAAAAAAATAGAGTCTTAAGTATTTTAGAGACAAATGACAGCATTATAGTATTA